TTAAGCTAACCTAGCCTAGATTACACTTTATGTGTAAGAAATTAGCTATATTAGCTATAGCTATAAGCTTAAAAAAATCTATGTATAATAAGCTTAAGTATATACTTAATAACTACTTTTTTTTTAAGCTTAGTTAAATTTCTTAATTTAAGCTAGCATTTTACTTATAAAGGCTATCTAGCGCATTAATTACTTAGTGTTATATAAAAGACATTATAGATAGCTATAGCATATTATAAAAAAAGTTTTAAGTTTTATTTAAAAGCTTAAAAAGTAAGCTATATTTAACATTCTTTAGAAGATTTAATCTAGTGTTGTTGTTAAAGCATTATGTAGATAGGTAGAGTGTAGTAGGGGCTTAGCAAAAGTAGCTAGCTAACCTGTGTGGCTGGCTAACCTGTTAGGTACGTTACCTACTTTTTATTATTACCTAGCTTTTATAAGTTAGCTATAAAATTAGCTTATAAAAGTTATTTAGTATCTTAGTTATTTATTATTTTTAAAAGACTTTATATATAGCTATAGCATGTTACTTTAAAGTGTTATATTTTATTTAAAAGCTTAAAGTATAAGCTATATCTAATATTTTTTAGCACATTTAAGTAGCGTTATTAAGAATGCATTAGTGTAAAAAGAGTAGTTTAGTAGGGTCTTAGCAAAAGTAAGCAACTTAGATGTGTAAGCAACTTGCCTATAGTGTATTTGTAACGATTCTCATAAATCGTTCCATCTTGGGTCGCCTGGAACCTATCCGAAGAGTCCCTGTATCGGCCCCGACCCTGACTCGACCTGGCCCTGACCCTGCCCCCTGCTGTACCTCTATTTCTCTAAGTATTTAGTCGCACCTCTCCTCTATAGCTAGCTTATTAGTTTTCTGATATCCTTTTGTACAAGGCCTATAAGTGTTAATAGAATTCCTAGGTTATTAAGTCCTCACGCACTTCTATATGCCTTTAAGTAGATTTCTACCGCATTTAGACCTATTGTCTTGCCTACGCTATTATATTATATTAGAAAACTAACTTTTGCTAGTAATAGCCTTATTAATAATATTATATTAATTATTTATTTAACTATGTCTAACTCTAAGAAGTGTCTAATTTAGGTTATAATCTTTACACACTATTACATTAAATTATTTAGTTATTATAGATAGGATTTTAGAAACTTTTTATTAACTAAAGACTTTAGGTTTAGAACTTTCTATCCTCTATAATTAAGATTACTTTTAGAAAAGTTGTAAAAAGTATGCTAAAGTAGAAACCTAGAGACTACTAATACTTAACTTTTAACTATTCTTAGACCTTAGTATAAAGTTTATAACATGCTCTAGCTCTAGCTAAGGCAAGATGCCTACTACTAAAGCTAAATAACTACTTACTTTAATAGCTAAACTTTGTTTTATTAAACCTAAAGCTAAACACCTACTAGATTTAGAGTTAAACTATAGTAATATAGCTTTTAAAAACTAAATTACTTAATTAAAAGTATAAATAAAGCAGCTAACTAGATTAAAAACTGTTAGTTCTAATTAACCTCTACTAACTACTAAATTAGCTCTAATAATCTCTTAAATTACCTCTACTACACTAATAGTAAGAGACTTTTTAGGCGCCCCTAAGCTTCTTTAAAGCTACCTTACTAAACACACGCTTAAGATTAAAAACCTTACAGACAGCAAAGAAACTATGTTTAAATAATAGTAAGCCTCTATTACAGACAGACTTAACATTAATTTAGATTACTATTAGAGTAGGCGCGCACGCATAGCGTTTAGTTTAGAAGACACTGCTAGCAGTGTAAAGGAATACTTAGAGTAAGGACACCTAGCTAAACTAGACTTATTTTAGTTTAAAAAGGTAGAGAAATAACAGTAATATTTTCTACTTTAATTACTGCTAATAAGAACTATTAGTTTATAAAGAGAGGGATAGTGTAATAATTCTTATAAATTGTTCTATCTTAGGTTGTCTAGAACCTATCTAAAGGGTCCTTGTATTAGCTCTAACTCTAACTTAACCTAGCTCTAACCCTGCTCTGCCCCCTGCTGTACTCTTATTTCTCTAAGTATTTAGTTGCACCTCTCTTCTGTAGCTAGCTTAGTAGTTTTCTAATAGTCTTTTGTATAAGGCCTATAGGTGTTAATAGTATTCCTAGGTTATTAAGTCCCTATGTACTTCTATATGCCTCTAAGTAGATTCTTACTGCATTTAGATCTCTTGTCTTACCTGCGCTGTTACAGTATGTTACTTAAGCTATATATATAAGAATTTTCTTCTTAGCTAGTAGCTATAACTAATATAGCTAATCTTTTACACCCTAAGCATAATCTAGGCTATGTTTACATAAACTAGCTTAGTATATTTATAAAGTGTTATCTAAAGCTTAAAGTAAAGTTTAAGTATAACTATAACTGTAACAGCACAGGCAAGACAATAGGTCTGAATGCGGTGGGAATCCACTCAGAGGCATATGGGAGTGCGTGGGGACTTGGAACCTGGGAATGCCATTAACACCTATAGGCCTTGTACAAAAGGATACTAGAAAACTACTAAGCTAGCTACAAGGGCAAGGTGCAACTAAATACATAATAGAATAGGGGTAACGAATAGGGGTAACAGCAGAGGTTAGGGCCGGGTTAGGGTTAGGGCTAATACAGGGGCCTTCTAGGCCATCTAAGATAGAACAATTTATAAGGATTGTTACACTACCCCCCCCTCTGTAGACTAATAGTCCTTATTAGTAGTAATTATAGTATAAAGTATTACTGTTATGTCCTCTGCCTTCTTAAACTAAAACTAGTCTAATTTAGCTAGGTGTCCTTACTAAGTATTTCTTTGCACTGCTAGCAGTGTCCTCTAAACTAAACGCTATGTGTGCGCGCCTGCTCTAATAGTAATCTATAGATGTCTAGCCTATTAATAATTAAACCCTTTGTTTATTACTATCTATACAGTTATTAATCTTAGGCGTGCGTTTAGTAAAGTAACATTTAAGTATTATTAAGAGTGCCTAAAAGGTCTCTTGCTATTAAGGTAGCAGTAGTAATTTAAGGCATTATTAGGGGTAATTTAGTAGTTGCCTAGCAGTGTTTTAGTAGATTAGCTGCTTAAGCTATGCTTATAATTAAGCATAGATATACTGCTAGAGGTTAACTTTAAATTAGGTAGGTCTAGCTTTAGGTCCTATAGACGCAGGTTTAGCTGTTAACAAGGTAGTAGTTAGTAGTTAGAAGTTAGTAGTTAAAAGTTAGGCATTAGTAGTTATCTCTAATTTTAATAAGTTATTAGTAGTCTTTAAGTTTCTACTTTAGCGCATTCTTTATAACTTTTCTAAAGGCAATTCTAATTATAAAGGATAAAAAGTTCTAAACCTAAAGGCTTTAGTTAACTAAAGGTTAATAGAATCTAGTTTATAAACTAAATAGTTTAATATAATAGTGTGTAAGTATTATAACCTAAACTAAATTAGACATGTCTTAGGCTTAGACATAGTTAAATAAATAATTAGTGTAATATTATAATAAGGCTATTACTAGCAAAAGTAAGTTTTCTAATATAATGTAACAGCACAGGCAAGATAATAGGTCTAAATGTAGTAAGAATCTACTTAGAGGCATATAGGAGTGCGTAGGGACTTAGAACCTATGAATGCCATTAACACCTATAGGCCTTGTATAAAAGGATATTAGAAAACTACTAAGCTAGCTACAGAGGCAAGGTGCGACTAAATACATAATAGAATAGGGGTAACAGCAGGGGTTAGGGCTAGGTCAGGGTTAGGGCTGATACAGGGGCCTTCTAGGCCATCTAAGATAGAACGATTTATAAGGATTGTTACAATAACTATAAAAAGCTTTTTATAAGAATTCTAAAGTAATTTAAAGCTAGTTTTACCTTATAAAGAATATTAAGGCTAAGTATAGTATTTAATATAATAACATATATAACTTTAACAAAATACGCTTTATAATAAGCTAGATATTTACTAACTATACTTATACTTTAAACTTTACTTTAAGCTTTAAATAATACTTTATAAACATACTAGGCTAGTTTATGCTAATATAGCCTAGATTATGCTTAGTGTATAAAAAATTAGCTTTATTAGCTATAGCTACTAGCTAAGAAGAAATTCCTTACAAATATAGCTTAAGTATATGCTTAATAATTAATTACTTTTTATTATTACTTAGCTTTTATAAGTTAGCTATAAAAATTAGCTTATAAAAGTTTTCTAGTATATTAGTTATTTATTATTTTTTAAAAGACTTTATATATAGCTGCAGCATGTTGCTTTAAAAGTGTTATGTTTTATTTAAAAGCCTAAAGTGTAAGCTATATTTAATATTCTTTTAGCATATTTAAGTAGTGTTATTAGGAATGCATTAGTATAGGAAAAGTAGTTTAGTAGGGTCTTAGTAAAAGTAAGCAACTTAGGTGTGTAAGCAACTTGCCTGTGGTGTACGTTATTTATTTTTATTTTTCTACCTATATTAAGCTAATTAGAGTAGTTAAGCATCTACTATTAATTATTACTCTAAGCCTTTTATTATTAAAAGTAGCTTTTACTACTACTGTATTAACCTTATGTTTTTAATAAATAGGGTATTTCTTGTCCTTGCACGCTGCTAGTTGTACGTATAAGTGCTCTAGTAAATTAGTAAATTGTGCGCATGCTTTCTACTAGTAGTTGTAAAAGGTGCATTTCTTTGCTTTGCACTAATGCCATATCTTTTGTTTGCATAGCGAGGCTATAGTGCATACCTTGTAATCTAGCATCCTGCAGAACGCATTTTTATATTGCGCTTCTCTGTCTTTGTCTAGTTTATTTTGCTACTATCCCTGCTTAATGCTTAAAGTTCTGATGTACCTAGCACTTCTGCTTAGTACACTAGTACTAGGCTTCTATGCACTGCGTTTAACTAACGCTCTCATATCGAGGAGAGTCTTCGTCTCTGCATTCTACTGCGCTTCATAGATTTATGGGGCAGCAGGAATATGGAAAGTCATTTAGAGAAGTTTCCTTCCGCTTGCACACTCGCAGAGACGTCCTATCAATTTGCCGGAGACCATTTGACTGCTGTCGTATCAAAAGTAGGGACAACCCACGGCAAAGATGACGTGGTAATTTGTTTAAGGGCAATGCTTCAGTCAGAAAATGTTCAGGGCCCTCGCCAGGTAGACAACCAAATGAGAAAACAATTGAGAAGGCCGCTGAGCTAGAGATGCGACGCCTAGTCAGGCTCTACTGGGTCACATGATGGGATGCACGCTGAAGAAAACTGGAAGCGCATGTACTCGCAAACATCCGATATTACGTATCATCAGTGATGTATTGGTCAGCTTTGTTGAAGAAGGAAAAGAAGAGTTTCAAAACTTCGTCGTCGGTCCATTCAAGATTTGTCGCCATTTAGATCTGTATGGCTATCAGGCCCTGTACTATGATCTCATCGACTCATCCTACAAACCGCTTCAAGAATATATCAAGCAAAAGAGGGCCATGTGGGAAGCCAACTTGGGCATTTCTGTTGGACGGCTTTGGATCTTAGCATTACGGTCAACTGTTCAAGCCCTGGAGCCCAGTCTTTCAGGAAATGTTCTCAGGTTGTCGAAGCTTATGACATTTATAAAATTTCGTGGTCAAGATTCACCTCTCAAGACAGGCAACATCGCGCAGACCTCCAAGCCCACTTTTACTCCCGTCACCTGCCTATCCTGGATCGCCAAGGCATTCTCCCCTCCCCGCCAGATCTCCACGACCTCAGACACCTGGCCGTCGCAGTTTGCCAGGTTTAACGCCCTACGGCAAACAAATGAATAGCTGTTGTCCGCCTCTCATGTTCAAATCCCAGGTTTCAACAAGATTTAGTACCTGCCCGATCAATGTCGCGACACTAGGTACAGTTTCAGGTATCGGCGGTAAAACTGGGTGGGCAGGTGATGATTAGCGAAGTTACACGGCAGGTATAGGACTAAGCAGCCCTGAAATCCCGTGTGCACTGCTCTACAACTTAACGTCCACGAAGTTGACTTCACTTTCTTGATTGCTGCATCGATCTTAGCAGTGTCATGAAGTCCATGCTCGTCTCCTTACTCCTGTTTCCTTTAGCGCTTGCTTTGGTAGTGTCACGGACGCAGAAGGTTGGCTACAATGGATACAAAGTTTTGAGACTATCGCTGGCTAAGAATATCGAAAATGTTGAGGCACAGATTGAAGAGTTGGCAGCCCATGTCCTGAACGCTGGAAAAGCCGAGCATCTGGATGTCGTGGTTACGCCTAATAAAGCAGAGGCAGTCGCAATGTTAGCTGTTGACAACACTGTTAGTACCACATGAATTTATAGGACAAAGCCCCCGAATCCAGCCAAATCAGCCACCAGCCCTAAGGGAGAGCAAGAGAGATAAGAATAGTGGAGACGTGATGTTAGAGGGAAATTGCAGGTAGACAGCTAAGCAGCCACAGGCGCTACACATTTAATAGTTAGAGTTCAATCCACTACAATGCCTAGAAATCACCACCACAGGAACAGTTCTTGGACTTGACACTAGGCGTTTCAGCACCCCTGGGAGAGTTATTGAATTTCGCTTAAATATGAGCCATTCGCTTCGCGCCTTTCTAAAGAGATGCTGAGATACCAGTCTAGTAAAGTTGTGTCGTTCTATATTCTGCCTTGCACACTTTTTGCCCAAAATTGTAATGCCACTAATCTTCTAATACGAAAGGATCGCGGCATGCATGTGGTGACCCATCTTGTCAAATTGGCTGAAAGAACTTCTTGGTTCGACATAAAGAGACCTATGCTCTACAACAGCTCCATGAAAATTAACAACCCTTTTCTATCTTACGCTTACTTATGCGCTCTAATCTTAACTAAAGAAAACATGCGCCATTTATTTACTCTTACCCTCTTCCTATTCCGCTTCGCGGAGGCCATCTGCGCAGGTTTCTCCAGTTCTGCGCAAGCAGGCATACAAAAGCGTGACACTCAATTATCATGTCCAGCCAATAACTTCGATATCCTCTGCTCCGCCAATGATGGAACGACCATCTGCCACGATCGTTTAAACGTATGCTGTCAACTCCCCAATGGCAAGACACCCTATACCTGCGCTAGCCTGGACTACGGACACTGCTGCGGAACCGACAAGCCGGCATGTGGATCAGATCCCACCTGTAAGAATATCAAAGGCGAACGCGACATTGTTAGCGCGCAGAGTGTTGTTTACCCATCCCCTGTAACTACGACCCCCAGTAAGACTACGGCGCGAGTGGTGCAGCTGGCCACGGTGACAGGAAAAATTAACCCTAATGCAACGGGCGGGGTGGGGGCTTTGCACATTGGGATTAAGGAAGAGGGGGCGTTCGTTTTTCTTGCAGCAGTGATGGCATTGTTGTAGGGTGTGTTAAGAAGTCTAATTAGCTAAGGAGAGAGTTGGAACAGATATTGTTTTTGTAGTTGTTATTAGCAGAGCTTGCTCTGCTTATTACGAGCAGGTATGAGCCTTCCTTTTCGGAAGCTTGGATGAGGAAAATTTAGCAATAACAAAGGAAGAATGGAGATATAGACAAAAAAAATCTCCCGTGCCGCCAACAATGTTCATACAGAGTACCGCGTCGGTCAGTTGCAAAGTCAGACAATAAGCAATAGGTTTGACATTCCTTAGAGTAAGGCTGGGAAGATATGCTGTAGTACCAGAATACAGACGCCGACACACCAATTCCGGCTTGGCGACACCTTAAAACTGTGAACAGTAACAAAGGGGCAAACTTTAGCCCACTAATAACAGAACACAGCATTATAATATTGCATTAAAATATCTAAAATATAGTAATAGACCTAGTAAAATATATTTATTTGCCTTAAAAATTAAGAATATTTGCAAAAGTAGTGGAAAGTTTTATAGGCTAATAAGACATTAATCCGGCGCTTTTTTAAACCAATAAGAGAAAAGGCTTGGCAAGATGTACAGTGAATAATAGAGATATTCGGGTTTGCAGAACAAAAAGTTGAGCAGAATCTCCTCTTTTAGACGCGCTAGTTAGTTAGAATTTCTTTAGATAAACCCCAGTAACGCTGTTTCTCTGTCACCTTATGTGTTTTTTATATTCTTTTAAAAAAAAATGTATACCTAATGTAAGTGCACCTTTATGCTAATTTGCATGCAGTTTGCTCTAGCATGCGTTGTGTAAAACATGTTTAAATTATGGTTAGTTGCGTCTGTTCCACCTCTCTAGCCACATCGGTGTGTCGGGGATTGGCATCAGCCATATTGGTGTATCGAGGATTCGCATCAGCCGCATCGGTGTGTTGGGGATTGGCAGTTGCTCGCACACCTGAGTTGCTCACTTTTGCTAAGACCACACCACAACAAACTTTATTATAGTCCATAACAACCCACTCTAGCACTATAGAGTACAGTACAGCCTAGAATATTATTTAGATACTACTTCTACTTCTTGCTTACCTGTTTACGCGTTATGCCTAGTCTAATTGCACTGTCTGCAGCGCCTTTAGAATTGCTTATCTACTTTAGCTTACACCTGCTTCTTTGCCTTTTTCCTGCTACTGCGCGCCTTAAACTTATTTTAAGCTGTTAAGCGCAGGCCTTTCTAAATGTAGCTGCCTTATTAGCTGCTTAAAGCTTAGTAATTTCCTATTACGCTAACACTAGCTTATGTGCAATTATTGCTGCCCTTTGTAAGGCTTTTTTTCTAGAGGCATTACCCCTCTAGAACCCTCTCTATACGTAGAGCTACTTGCAACACAACTAATATCTACTAGGGATTGTTGCCTGCTGCTGTAATCTACTGTAGTTTGCTGCAATTTGCTGTAGTTTGCTGCAATTTGCTATAGTTTGCCGCAATTTGCTGTAGTTTGCTACAATTTGCTGTAGTTTGCCGCAATTTGCTGTAGTTTGCTACAATTTGCTGCAATTTACTTTATGCATTTCCTAACGCTGCTAGGTAATCTCTTACTAACACCTCTAGGCATCAGTCTATTATTGTGCACAATTATATTTAAACAGCAGTTGAAGAAGCTAAACTAGCGGTTGTGTAAGCAAAACAGCTTGTTAAGGCATTACATGTACTACATTAATCTTTGCAGCGATAGAGAGGCAGAGGCAGAGGCAGCGCTAGAGCTCCCCAGCACTCTAAGAAATTCCTGCAGCACTGTCACACAGAGGCAACAAACTACACAAGCTGCAGCTCTACAACTAGGGCTTTAATGCTAAAACAATTAAATTAAAAATATTAGGTAGCAGTATTAGGCGTAGCGTGGCAGTATTAGGCAGTGAAAGGAACAGGTGCAACGCTAGAGAACAGAAGGTGCAAAGAAGAGAAAGACTACTATAAAAGTAGAAACGCGTTAAGAGCTAGAGCTAGAACGTGTTCTCTTAATTACAGCTAATAATTAACTAGTTTCTAGATAACTAATCTTAAATTTATATAAACCTTTAGTTTTAAAAAAAGAAATTTTACTAACTTAATTAAAGCTAAAAATTAGCTAGCTATTATTTACTTTTAAGTGTTACTTTACTTATAAGCTTACTTTATAATAAGTAATTTAGTTATGTATAAAGTTTTTAGCTTAGCGTCTATATACTTTTTTAAAAAAGTAAAATAACCTATAACGTACCTAACAGGTTGGCCGGCCACACGGGTTGGCCGGCTACTTTTGCTAAGCCCCTACTAAAACCACCCTATTCTCTCGCAAAACAGCCCACTTTAGCCCTGTATAAAGTAATACAACATAAGATATTATTTAGAGTCTACTTTTACTGCTTACTTACATGTACGCAAGTTATGCCTAGTCTAATTGCACTGCTTATATTACCTTTAACTTAGCTTACTTTCTTTAGCGCGCACCTGCGTCTTTAGCTTCTTCCTATTACTACACGCTCTAAACTCCTTTAGAGCAGTTAGATAAGCCCTATTCTTAACTATTAAAGTCTTTTCTACCTAAATCTGCTTTCTTTTATGTAATCTATGTTGCGTAGTAGCCTTATTTACTGCTTAAAGCTCTATAATCTTATAGCCTACTCTATTATGTTAATGCTCTAGATAACTATTATTTACTTCTTATTACCTTACTATATTACCTTTAGCTGTCTTTATCTTTCTAAAGCTGTAATAACTACTCTAGTTAATATCTAGCTTATTATAAAGCTTAACTTATTAAAGTTATACCTATCTTTATTCTAGATACTGTACTTAGCTTTTATGTTAGCTATAAGGCAAAACTAGCCCTAGATAACCTCTAAATTCTTATAAAGCGCTCTCTTATAATTATACTTGTAATTAAACTTTATTGTAAACTTAGAGCAGTGCTTAACCTACATACTAGTCTAGTTTAAGCTAACCTAGCCTAGATTACGCTCTACAGGTAAGGAATTAGCTATATTAGCTATAGCTGCAAGCCTAGGGGGAAATCTGCGCGTAATAAGCTTAAGTATGTACTTAACAACTACTTTTTTTTTAAGCTTAGTTAGATTTCTTAATTTAGGCTAGCATTCTGCTTGTAAAGGCTGTCTAGTGCGTTAATTGCTTAGTGTTATGTAAGAGACATTATAGATAGCTGCAGCGCGTTATAAGAAAAGTTTTAAGTCTTATTTAAAAGCTTAAAGAGCAAGCTGTATCTAACGTTCTTTAAAAGATTTAATCTAGTGTTGTTGTTAAGGCATTATGTAGATAGGTAGAGTTTAGTAGGGGCTTGGCAAAAGTGGCCGGCCAACCTGTGTGGCCGGCCAACCCGTTAGGTACGTTATTAAATAGCTATAAAAAGTGTAATAAGTAAAAAAGTATATAATAGTAATAATTTTACTATCTTTATAGTATTACTAAAAATAAAGTAAGTTATTAGTAAAGGTTACTATACTTAACATATTTAAGTTTATAAAATATAAAGTTAAGTAAAATCTTTTTTTTAAAACACACTAGTTAGTTATAATTTTTTTTAAATAAACTTTAGTAACACTATAGTTTTATTACTTTATATATTTCTTATAACGTACTTTACAGGCAAGTTGCTTACACACCTAGGTTGCTTACTTTTGCTAAGACTCTACTAAACTACTTTTTCTATACTAATACATTTCTAACAACACTACTTAGATATACTAAAAGAACATTAGATACAGCTTATGCTTTAAGCTTTTAAATACAATATAAAACTCTTAAAGAAACATGCTACAGCTATGTATAAAGTCTTTTAAAAGATAATAAATAACTATAGCGCTAGACAACCTTTATAAACTAATTCTATAGCTAACTTACAAAGGCTAAGTAATAATAAGAAGTAGGTAACTATTAAGACTATACTTAAGCTATATATGTAAGAATTTTCCTCTTAGATAGCATTTATAGCTAATATAGCTAATTCTTTACACGCTAAGCATAATTTAGGCTATATTAGCATAAACTAGCCTAGTAACATACTTTACAGGCAAGTTGCTTACACACCTAAGTTACTTACTTTTACTAAGACCCTACTAAACTACCTTTTTTACACTAATGCATTTCTAACAACACTACTTAGACATGCTAAAAAAAGTTAGATATAGCTTATACTTTAAGCTTTTAAATAAAATA